TGATAAATCAAGAAAAGCCATCCACGAACGCGTTTCGCGCTGTTGGCGCTCGTCATAAATATATGAAAAAACAATAGAAAATGGCGCTCTGCCATCTAAAAAGTACATGTGCTCGTGGTCAGGAAATGCCTTCTTTATTTTTAATATAAATATATGTCAATGATATTATCTTATATAGATGAAGAAACACAGGTCGAGAGAGAGAGAGATTGAGATTGAAACTGATTTATTATAACGACCATATCTCTATATATATAAAAATGAATGTTTGTATGTTTGTCTGTCTGTATGTCCAGTATACAAATTCGCAATAGTTCACTAATTCAAACCAAAATTTCCATACATAGGTTAAAGAATACGGGGAAGACGATAGGCTATTTTAAAAAATATATAAATCAATTATTAAAACTATATATTTTTAGTCAGAAAATGATGATGACGATATTGCTGTATCATGTTTGATTATCAGATACAAAATTAAATCTGAAAAATTCCAAAAAGCAGAGACCACGGGTGAAACCAGTTCATTATTTTGTATGCAGGAACAAAATTCTAACAGAAAAACATTCATTCGAGCAGAAAACAAAAGCCAGATCATCTTTCTATAAAAATATCACTTCTCAGACACAAAGTTTGGAGCGGGACGTTTCACAAGAGTGACATCCACGGCGCCAATTTATAATTGTAACGAATAGTATTTGAATAGGGTACATTTAATAGGGTAAAACCCGGGATTTGCCCGGGTCATTCGGCTAGTAAGATTATAGAAGGTTAAATACATAAAATGAATAAATAAGATTAATAAAGATAGATATATGAATGAAGAGAGAGAGAGAGAGAAGAGCTTCTTTATATTAGAAAACGATCGTACAAGCTTTCGGGGACAAGACGTCTTTCTGCCGGTACAGAAAGACGTCTTGCCCCAAAAGCTTGTATGATGATCGTCGACTTATATCGTCGAATAGGGAGATTATCGTTGTCTTAACATTATTTTATATGATATCATAGCGCAAAGATTAACATATATGGTTATGGATTAAACTATCTATCATAACCGAATCTTCCGTTGGAGTCATTCCATATGGCTAAGAGTTCTATAGGACAATTTTTTGACCATTTGGGAACAAACCAATCAAGTTCACCCATATAGCTGGTACAGAGCAAGAGGGAGAATTCTGTCATCCCAGTAACCTACGTACCTTGGTGCAGCAGGGTAGACCCAGTAGGAAGAAGATGCTAGCTGCACTGATGCACAGTGTCGCCTTATGGTTCCTGAGCCACTGGAATTCATCTGCGATGCTTGTCAGTACATTCTCCATCAGTGCGAACTGGACATCAAGATTACACTGTTATCTAACAGGCATCCTCTATTTACATATTGGTTCAACTTGTTAATATCATAATCCTTTTTTTTTCGCACGCGCGAATTATAAATAAAAGACAATTCGCTGAGTCCCTTTAGTTAATTTTTTTATCCCGACAATACAAGTTTTTGGTAGTAACAACCTTTCGACAGGTATAACTACCATAATAAAACTTAGAATTACTAGTTTTAGTATCGTAGCTACTATACCTGTCGAAGGGCTGTTACTACTGAGAACTTGTATGAGCGTGATGGTAGACAATTAAATAGCATATTTCAAGCTGGAACTATACAAATAACTTGTTCTGACCCCTAAACCTATATTGTATCAATGCTTCATTGTGGTGGAGTTATTGTCTGAATCCCGATATACATGCTGAAAGGCATAGCTTCCTTAAGTTTTGTCCATGAGCATATATTCCTCCAGAGTAGTTAGGAGAACAAGAGAAAGTGATAAAATACCTCGCTGTCCAGTCCCAGGATGAAGAGCATCACAAAGAAGAGAAACGACCAGAGTTGAGGTACTGGAAGTCTGGACAAGGCCTCAGGGTAGGCCACAAACGCCAGTCCGGGACCTGGAAGTCCATACAGTATCTGTAGACTTGGGACCAAACAATGATGTCACTGGACTCACCGCTGGCTACGACGTCCTTTACTTCAGTCCCGGGACCCAGGTCGTGGGCCATGGCTCCTAGCACGGAGAAGATGACCAATCCGGAGATAACACTGGTCAACGTGTCCATCACACTGACCACTAGCGCATCGCTGGACATATCACTCTAATAGAGACACCGAATCCTCAGTGAGTGGTGACATTGTTCAGATCCTACCTCTGCCATATTTCATGTTTTAAAACAATAATATAGAAGGAAAAAAAGGCATCTCCTTATCGTGCAACTTAAAGCTGCTGATGGCTTGCTCCATCTATCGGAATAAACATCATGGCGCAAGCCATCAGCAACTTTCAATTGCACGATAAAGAGATGCCTTTTTTTTTCTTCATTTATGCACCTTATCTCAGTACAATATCACAATAGTACTATTTTTTTCACAATAATAGTGAAGTTTTACAGGACAGCGCAAGAGAAGAAACATTCAGAAAAGGGAGTCGTGGGTAAATGGATATTTATATAAACAACCACCTGTAAATAACTAATATTTTCTGAATAATTATGTACCTATGGGCGAATCCTGTGTAGGGCATAGGTCCCCAATAAAAGGCTTGTTGTTGTTGTTGTTAAAACAATAATAGAATTGCTATAAAATAGGTGACAATGTTATAACATGGGTTGTGTGGCTATGTGTATCTTTATTAAAATCTAAGAATGAGCCAGTTTCGAGCAGCAAAAAGGCTATTCGAGTGTTGTTTTAACTGTTAAAAGAGATAAATAAAAAGGATCAAAGTGTGAAGACGGCTATCAGTGCACCATGTACCGGAAGATGTTGTTCCTGAAGTCATTGTAGCTGGAGTACATGATGAGAGCGCCCATGGACACACTGAGGGAGAAGAACATCTGTCCAGCCGCGCTCTGCCACACCTGGAACATGGGACAGTGGTTGTCACGGCAGGCTATATGCAAGCACTTGTACTTTCATTAGAACATGGGGTAATTGTTGCCATGGTATATACTTTCATTAGAACATGGGACAGTGGTTGTCACGGCAGGCTATATACTTTCATTAGAACATGGGACAGTGGTTGTCACGGCAGGCTATATACTTTCATTAGAACATGGGACAGTGATTGTCACGGCAGGCTATATACTTTCATTAGAACATGGGATAATTATTGCCATGGTATATACTTTCATTGGAATACGAAACAGTGGTTGTTGTGTCTTGTTAAATATCCTCATTAAAATATGGGGCAGTGGCTGTTATGGAATCCATATTACCCTCATCAGAACATGGGATGATTGTTGCTAAGGCGTATACTTTCATTGGAACATGGGGTATAATTTTTGTCTTTATATATATCTTCATTGGAACAACACAACAGTGGACATAGATTGAAAAATAAAAGAATCCTGGTGCTAAATATAGAATCCACGGCAATATCAGGAGTGAGATGGAGAGATAGAAGAGAGGACCTGGACGTCCAGTAGACGATGCCAGTCCGGCAACAGGAAGTAACGGACTCCCGCCCAGGCTCCCGGCTGGGCCAGTCCCGTGCCTAGGAGGATGAGAAGGACGAGGTAGGGGAACGTGGCGGCGAAGTACACCACCTGTAGAACGCACACAGATAGATACACTCTACATAGACCCCAAATAGACACACACTCCACCGCTACATACTAGGACAACATATCCACTCCACATAGCCACACTAGTCCGAAATACACACACACACACAGATAGACACACTAGCACAACATAGACACTACATCTACACTAGAACAACATAGACACTACACCTACACTAGAACAACAATCAATAGAACAACATAGAAACTCCATCTAGACACACTAGCACAACATAGACACTACACCTACACTAGAACAACAATCAATAGAACAACATAGAAACTCCACCTAGACACACTAGCACAACATAGACACTACACCTACACTAGAACAACAATCAATAGAACAACATAGAAACTCCACCTATACACACTAGCACAACATAGACACTACACCTACACTAGAACAACAATCAATAGAACAACATAGAAACTCCACCTAGACACACTAGCACAACATAGACACTACACCTACACTAGAACAACAATCAATAGAACAACATAGAAACTCCACCTAGACACACTAGCACAACATAGACACTACACCTACACTAGAACAACAATCAATAGAACAACATAGAAACTCCACCTAGACACACTAGCAGAACATAGACACTACACCTACACTAGAACAACAATCAATAGAACAACATATAAACTCCACCTAGACACACTAGCACAACATAGACACTACACCTACACTAGAACAACAATCAATAGAACAACATAGAAACTCCACCTATACACACTAGCACAACATAGACACTACATCTACACTAGAACAACAATCAATAGAACAACATAGAAACTCCACCTAGACACACTAGCACAACATAGACACTACACCTACACTAGAACAACAATCAATAGAACAACATAGAAACTCCACCTATACACACTAGCACAACATAGACACACACAGATATAAACACACCAACACAACATAGACAAGAATATAACACGCCACTATTAATAAAATTTGAAACTATTATTACAACATTTTCTTTTTCTCCAACATAAACAAAATTCTGCGATGTTCACCAGAAACAATTAGAAAGTTATTTTACTTTGAAAAAAAGTGAGATACTCATTTCTACCGTTAGACCTACTCGCCGTTAACAAAAATAGTTCCATTTTTAAAACACAACCTATCCTATTTATATACAAGTCTTTATATACTTGTACTTAGCGCCATCTTGTTACCAATAGTCTGCAGTAATGAATATCTTACCAAAAAGAGACACAATTTCGTGCTAATAATTTCAACATTCATTAACCCAGTGACACATAGATAGACAGAAAGAAGAGAGTGTACCTTTCCAGAAGTCTTGATTCCTCTCACCAGACACACCACCACCACCAGCCAGCTCACTGCCAGACACCCCACCAACTCAGGACGGAGTTCTCCGGGGTGTTCAATGCCAGGGGACAACTCCAGTACTCTCTGCCTGGACATACTTCCCGTGTCCTTCCACAGACAGCTGATTTACTTATTGAAAAGTTTTAAAATAGAGAGAGGAAGAACGTCGGACTAAACAAATTCAGTAGAGACTCCTATTGAGAAAGTTCTTCAAATTAAAGATACTTTGGCCAGTAAATCCCTATCCTATTGAGAAAATCGAATAAACACATGGCTAAACCCGGGAGGTGGTCCACGTGTCCTCCCACAGACAGCTGATTTACTTATACAAAGTTTTAAAAGAGAGAGAGGAAGAACGTCGGACTAAACAAATTCAGTTGAGACTCCTATTGAGAAAGTTCTTCAAATTAAAGATACTTTGGCCAGTAAATCCCTATCCTATTGAGAACATAGACTAAACACATGGCTAAACCCGGGAGGTGGTCCACGTGTCCTCCCACAGACAGATGATTTACTTATTGGAAAGTTTTAAAAGAGAGAGAGGAAGAACGTCGAACTAAACAAATTCAGTAGTGACTCCTATTGAGAACATAGACTAAACACATGGCTAAACCCGGGAGGTGGTCCACGTGTCCTCCCACAGACAGCTGATTTACTTATACAAAGTTTTAAAAGAGAGAGAGGAAGAACGTCGAACTAAACAAATTCAGTAGTGACTCCTATTGAGAACATAGACTAAACACATGGCTAAACCCGGGAGGTGGTCCACGTGTCCTCCCACAGACAACTGATTTACTTATACAAAGTTTTAAAATAGAGAGAGGAAGAACGTCGGACTAAACAAATTCAGTAAAGACTCCTATTGAGAACATAGACTAAACACAAGGCTAAATCCGGGAGGTGGTCCACGTGTCCTCCCACAGACAGCTGATTTACTTATACAAAGTTTTAAAATAGAGAGAGGAAGAACGTCGGACTAAACAAATTCAGTAGAGACTCCTATTGAGAAAATCGAATAAACACATGTCTAAACCCGGAAGGTGGTCCACGTGTCCTCCCACAGACAGCTGATTTACTTATACAAAGTTTTAAAATAGAGAGAGGAAGAACATCGGACTAAAAACTGCAGTAGAGACTCCTATTGAGAACATAGACTAAACACATGTCTAAACCCGGGAGGTGGTCCACGTGTCCTCCCACAGACAGCTGATTTACTTATACAAAGTTTTAAAATAGAGAGAGGAAGAACGTCAAACTAAAAACTGCAGTAGAGACTCCTATTGAGAACATAGACTAAACACATGTCTAAACCCGGGAGGTGGTCCACGTGTCCTCCCACAGACAGCTGATTTACTTATACAAAGTTTTAAAAGAGAGAGAGGAAGAACGTCAAACTAAAAACTGCAGTAGAGACTCCTATTGAGAAAATAGACTAAACACATGGCTAAACCCGGGAGGTGGTCCACAGACCAACAGATAAGAACAGATAAGAAGAATCTCGTTAAATAAAAATATCAGACCTCCAGGGAAAAGTATCTTTTCAAAAACCTTTTTAATCTCTAGCTTTCAGGTACGAAGGCCCTTCTACAGGAGAAGCTACACCTATCCCCCGATTTACACGGTACTTTTACACGGTTTTCCAAATAAGTTTTTTTTTATCGCACTATACTAAATGCTACTGTGATTGAACACATGCGCTGTATACACATCTCACGAGGATTCTCCCGAGCTTATGTGCTGACTACATATTTTAACCTGTCAACGCATTTTATTTCTGTGTACACCTATCCCCCGATTTACACGTTTTTCTCAGGAACGTATCTACCGTGTAAATCGGGGGATAGGTGTACTGTTGTAATATTGTCGCCCAGAAAAAAATGAAAGCTTTCCATTTTATCTTAATAACATAAATAATTTTATTCGCGATCGAACGTTGTGGCCCACTGTACATATTACATCCATACAATGGACGTTCATGGGAAAAGGAATTCTATGGTGGTATTTGTCTTAATAAAGCCATCAACATGATTGTTATATTATGTTTATACTTTTGTAATTATTTAAAAGAATATTTAGATAAAAATTATAATAAAGAGACAAGGGTCGCCTCTCCCGTCAAAATAGACGTCTAAAACCAGACGCCATCTATTGACCGTCGCCGCAACTAGCAGCCTCAGGTCGGTGACAAAGCCACAAGCTTTGGCAAACTGAAAAGCGTCCACCTAGAGACCATGGTTTCGGGCTAATGGCCCTCGTCGGTCTAGGGCGGATTTATTCCATGAGATCCACACGGGATCTAATGGAATCTTGACAATCTGCCAAAGAGGTGTTTAATGGCAAAGTGGCTGGGCCATATCTATGGCTAAAATATAGATGGAAATTTTGCCGGGAGGAAATTGATATAAAGAGACAAGGGTCGCCTCTCCCGTCAAAATAGACGTCTAAAACAGACGCCATCTATTGACCGTCGCCGCAACTTTGTCACCGACCCGAGGCCGTTAGTTGCGGCGACGGTCAATAGATGGCGTCTGGTTTTAGACGTCTATTTTGACGGGAGAGGCGACCCATGTCTCTTTATATCAATTTCCTCCCGGCAAAATTTCCAAAAATTATAATGAGAGGGTTTTTGAATTCCATTTTTAGGTAAACTCTTTCAGAAGTTTCGCCAGTATAATCCTCCAGATATTTATTGAACCGCTTTTTATTTATTTAATCCCCGACGTTTCGATAACTTTGTATCACCCTTCTCAGTGGAATAAGTTCTTGAATTCTAACGCCTTTTTTTATAAGCACGGTTTTTTTAAATATACAACAACAGCAAAAAGCCTTTATTGAGGACCTCTCGTCCTATAAAGGATTCGCCAGTTTACAGAGTAAGTGAAGAGAAGAGAACTAAGAATACAGAGATATATGTAGTAGGTATAGTATAGTATTTTCTACACTGTGACTATATACAACAGCAGCAGTTTTTTAAAATATATATAAAACGTCAAACGCTTTTTTTTTTACCATATCCTAACTAGCAAATAATTTATAAAATTATATTTATTACTTCTAAAATGAAAAGAGTATCCCAAAATAGTGTTTAAGGAAAACATCGGCTACATTGAAAAATAAATGTTTTTTTAAAAGACTTAATAGAAAATAGTAAGGCAGAGTCCCACGTGGTCTAGTGGCTAGGATATCTGGCTTTCACCCAGAAGGCCCGGGTTCGATTCCCGGCGTGGGAACTTTTTTTTTTTTTTTTTTTACTTAGACTTAGAGGACGAAGCTGAAATACTATTACGGCCCCCTCGGCCCAGCTAAAAAGTGTAATTTTTGAAAATTTTGAAAAATACTTTAAGCATGATCCAAATGAAATATTAATTGTAATAATGGTAAAAATAAGTGTTGAAAACATTATAAAAGATACATTTTTAAAATAAATTCAATATATATTTTATTATTAAATTTTGAAAAAATCAAAATTTTATTCAAAAATGAAAATCACTCCAACACAAAAATGATCCAAAAATAAATTTATATAATGAAAATGACATTTATTTTTTAAAAAATGAAGTAATTTATATATATATACAATAATTTAATGCGATAAAATAATTTTTATACCTTATAATAATCTTTTATTGTATGGTACAGTTTGAAGCAATCACCAAGGCATAGTGGAACTAGGCAGGTCTCACATTCATAGGCTGTATCTTTTCTTGCCTGCTTGCCAGTGGTTACCCTGCCTTTTTCAGCGCAAACTTTGCATCTGCGTTGGGCATATGTTTTGCCTTCAACTTTGATTCGGCGAATAAAATGACGTCCAATAAGTCGATCAGATTGTTCACCGCTTGAAGGTTGAGCATCAAGAATATCTTGATTGGCTTCTGAGCAAAGAGCTTCGCATATTGAAATATGGAAGTCCCTCAAAGACATTTTAGCATCAGGATTCAATTTATTGTAAATTATGCATGAATTTACAATAGCAAGTCCATATATATGGAAAAATAGTTTCTTCCACCATTTCATTGTGCGTCGATCAAAAGAATAATAGGAGAGCATCTGGTCACTTCGGTCCACTCCAATTTTATTCTTATTGTAGTCAAGAACAACTTGTGGTTTGAATATTGGAGCTTGCGAAAGTCCAGGTCTCCCCATGACTTCAACCATTTGATGGTCGTGAACAGTTGAGATCATCCAAACATCTCTGGTGTGGCGCCATTTCATTGCCATTAGGCTACCCTTGAATAGATGCATTTCTTCACCTTTCTTCAATTTTTTTGAAAAGGATTTCTTAGGAAGACCTTTCCTATTAGTTTTTACTGTACCAACAGCCATTGTTTTCTTTTCCCATAGATAGTTGAAGAGGTGGGGCGAAGAAAACCACCTGTCACAATAAATGATGTGACCTCTGTTGAAGAGATGAGAGGCCAATCGTTCTACCAAATTTGGTATAGAGTTATAGCCTTCTTCCTGGCTTGGATGTTTACCTGTGTATATGTTGATATTACAGGTATAACCAGAATTGGCTTCACAAATATGGTAGATCTTTATTCCATATTTGTGAGGCTTGCCTTTTATGTAAATACGGAACCTTATTCTTCCTCTGAATGGACAAATAGCTTCATCAATGGTCAGATTCTGGGTCGGGGAATAAAGGCATTGGAATTTTTTGGTAAGAGGATCTAGAAAAGTTCTTATTTTATATAGAGGATCATGTCCACTTTGTCCAAAAGGAATATAGGAAGAATTATCAGCCAGGTGAAGCATTGACAAAATTGCTTCGAACCTATTTCTAGCCATTATTTTTTTACAGAAAGTGGTATTGAGGACAGAATTGGTGGACCAGTAATCTTTCATTCTTGGCTTTATAACAAGGCACATGTGTATAATGCAGGCAAAAAATAACTTTATTTCTGCAATTGACACTGCTTTCCAATTAGCCAGAAAGCTATATGCCTTGAGAGGACCCCTTTTCTTCTGTTTATCAATTGTAGACCTTGCATACTTGTTTGTTTCTAATTTAATTTTCCTGTACATTTCTTCGTCAATAAAAGTTTTGAAAATATTATATGGGGACATTGTTTGTGTAAAAAAATCCATTTTAGGGCCAGGTTGGTCTAAGAAAACCGGACAGTTTACTGAGGGATTCCGAACATTTGCCCAACCCTCATCTTGGGGCTCTTCAAGTCTCCTTTGTTTAGATGGAGGCTGAGCAAATTCTCCTTCTTCCAAATCATATATTTCAGTTTCATCTGAATCCAGACCTTCAACATAATCTGGATCAACAACTGGATCATCAATTTCAGACCCAGAATCAGAGCAAAATTCGTCTAGATGTTTTTCATCAAGAGAAGATTTATAAAATGGACCTACCAATTTGGAGGTGCTTGGTTGACTAGGATCCATCATAAAATGAAAATAATCCTTCAAAAAGTATTTTATAAGTGAAAGATATTGAAAATAAGACAAAAAAACAAGAGCACTATAAATAGGTAAGTTGAGCACACTGCAGTTGTTTACAGAAGAGGAAGGAAGTGGGAAATCACGTGTGCCATGATGTAAAGGGGGTGGAAGGGGGGGCGAGAGGGAGGGGAGGAGCCTGTCAAGGTCATGTCATCATGAGACGGCCGCGAAAAGTTGTTGGGGCCAGGTGCCCAATGACGTGGATTGCCACCCGATTTTCTATTGATTTTTAAAGTTTCATGACGTGGATCCACGTCATTGGGGTTTGGTGCTTTAATAGCAATGACGTGGATCCACGTCATTGGGGTTGAAAGTGTTAAAAAAAAAAAAAAATATTAGAAAAAAATTTTAACTCATTTTAACAGGAGAATGTGAACATCATGTCACAAATATGGACCAACAGCCCGAAACGCGTACATGGTTAACTTTTTAAAAACTTATTAATCCAATACGGATTTATGGTCAATTCTGGAATAATTAAAAATCAACAATTTGTTGATATTTATTCCTACAGATATCGTAAGACATCAACAACTTTCAGTTGTACAATCAGGAGATGCCTTTTTTCTTAATTTATCTACCTGATCCCTGTCCAATTTCACTTTTTTTTATACTAATTTTTCACATTTTTATAAGTATAAAAACACTCAAAGTCTCATCAAGGGCTTCAATAAACTAAACCTCATCAATAAGTAATGATGTAAAAACTTATCGCAAAATTTGTCACAATTTTCAACGATAATAATCGCAATGAAGACATTTTAAATATAACATTTTTTTACCAGAGATAAGCACTTGAGCTTTGATGATGTCTTTTTCATTTATAATAATTCATATTTTACATAGTATTTTCTGATAAAGCTACTCTAGGAAACTGGGTTATAAATATCTTTCTGATAAAGTTACATATTACATATAAAACTACATATTAGTTACATATTTTTTCATTAAATTTCTTTATAAAAAATCGTAATTCATTGAGGGTATATGTACTTTCAATAAAAGAGGTATATCGGTTCAATTCTGAATTTGAAAAGGCTGCTACTCTCTTCAGTTTTACCAGATATTTTTGCATAAGTATATATAATAAAAACTATTTACATACTCCCAATAGACTTGACTTGAAGATTTCAGCCCCACTCTGGTGGCGTTTGCCTGAAACCACAACATAGAGTGTTATGCAACTTAATATAATGAAATCTTAATTTCTTCACATAAGTAAAAAGAGCTAATTCTATATTAATTGGATTTTTTTTGTATACAGAGAATTCTTTAGAATTTTGAAGGAGCAGATTTCAACAATAAAGGTATCCATACAAAAGATGTTCTTCTTCTTTCTTATCTCCACTCAATCGTATTAAGGTATCAAGCTTGTAAAGCTTGAGACTTTTGATGGTGTCTGCTGGGGAAGAGTAGAGCTCATCAATGGATGAGTCATATAAAATGAAAGGATATAAAAGCACGAATGTTTCTTTTATACATAATACAAACTTCTACTGTGGTGAACCCTCCCAGCGGTTTCGCCAATTTAATCCACCAGACCGCTTCTCAGAGCTCTAATACTGTTTTGGACGATTCTGCTTATATACGCAGTACTGAAGGGTGGAATCTTAGAAATGGTTTTCAATGAGTCAATACAGTCAATAATGTGTTTTGGGGTTGCAGGTTGATAATTGCACTTACAATAGATATCATAAATAGATACAATAGATATGAATCTCCTGTATATGAATTAAATAAAGCAATAGGTTTCTGGAATGTGTGTTCCTTTTCTTTTTTTTTTATTTTAATCTCAAGCTTCGGTCATTAGCACCCTTCTAAAAGAATAGAAAAATGAACAAATGATAAACTGACAAGCTGTCACAAAATTTAATAAAGTCGGTGGATGAGAGGGTAACACGCTCGATTCCCGACAGTCATGAACCGGGATTGAATCCCGCGCGTTAAAATTTGTTTAATATGTGAATAACCTTCACATATTATTCACTGTTTCAATTATCATGAACTAGGTTGCTCTTGCTGAGCGGTACCTATTAATGTGATTTGAACCAGGTCACAAAATTTTGATGAAATTATATCATTTATATAAATACGACATTTGTAGGTTTAGCAAGATAATTTTTTTTTTCGAAAACGAATTCGAAAACTGTTGGGAGTTGAGAGAAATGATTTTACCAGCGATTATTTAATATCTCAAAGATTGAAATTTAGATGAGAGAATATTGGTGGATACATGACTCTAAAAAAAAAAAAAAACTCTAACTGACCGAAGTATCTATTTTTCACAGAAATATAAATGCTGGCCAGACAACATCTATCTTCAGGACATGACCTCAAGTTTTAACGTTTGTTTTGACGGGAGAGAGATGACCTTTATATACCTCAAAAATACTCCCGGCAAGATTTAATCAATATTAAATATTTTTGCATATTTTCTGGGGAGATCGGTAAATAATACCCCGACTAAAGAATAAATTCGCTGAAAGAGTGTTTTATCAAAATTCGAAACTATTCTAGACGCGTATGATTATTTTAAAAATAAAACAATTTCTACTGCCCTTACTTCAATGAAAAATTTAATGGGAGGGCCTGGCTCTTCAGTGGTGAATCCTCCCAGCGGTTTCGCTAGTTTTAATCTACCATACCGCTGTTATATTGCATTTTTTGGAACTTCCTTTTATAGTGATACTGATGCTAGACTCTTGGAATACGATACATTAGACCGCCGTCCGGTATATAAAAGAGAGCTTATGTTAATCGGAATTATAATCATTCTGTAAGGCTTAGAGAGAGATGTACCTGTGACTCCCGGACATAGCAGTCGGTGGCGTTGACCGGACACACCATCCAGGGCAACGTGGAGCTGAACGTGGCTCCCATGTAGAACAGAGTGTAGGCCATGATGACGTTGTAGTAGACAACTACAATGATAGATACTGTCATCATGGCACAGCCGATTCCTGTAGATACACCCCATAGAAAGTCAGTATCCCCGAGGACATAGTAGTGTACCATAGTTAGACAATGCTCACTCTATAACTGCTCAAACCGTCGTTTTATTAGTAGTTATTTTGGTACCTATATAGATACATGGTACAGGCCATGATATTCATGGATGGGTAGTATATGTGGATACTATGTGTGTGAAACATCTATCTAAACATATATAGAAAGCAATTCGACTTTACAATTACAATGTGTCAGATCCCTATTTGGTTACGTGTACTCACTGTTGAGGTTGGACTTGTGTAAAAATCGTATCCAATTGAAACAATAAATTAGAATTTTTTGTAGATAAGAGTTGAATTAATGATTTAACGCAAGTTTTTTTTTTCAAATATACATCGTATTGGTAGTTGAAATAGAGATAAAATATATTTAAACTACAGATTGAGAAAGGATAAGACACGAAAGCTTCCAATAAAATGTATTTTTTAAAAAATGCGGTAAATCATTTATATATATTTTTATCAGAATAGAGGGAATGTCGCTTATGTTTAGAATCTATTATGACGAGAAATTCTTATTTTATAGTTCTTATTTAAGTTTATTTTTTGTACCAAAAGAAAGAACAACTTTTGAATTAGAAATACACTAACAAAACTATAATTAGAACCCATTACAGATAATTCTAGAAAACTAACATCGTGGCAGATTTATTTTAGATATAATTTATTTAAATGTTTCATTAAAAAATACTTAATTATATTATTGATTGATATCAATTATATAATTGATAAAGAAAAAAAAAACGTCCCCGGGTGGGCTCGAACCACCAACCTTTCGGTTAACAGCCGAACGCGCTAACCGATTGCGCCACGGAGACATGATATTGTAATTCGATATCTCACATTTAAATATAAAAATAAATACTCTCGTAATAAAGCAAAATAGTTTCCTTTAGGGAGAAGTATATTTTCTTACCGAAGAGTTATTAAATAGTAAAAATGACAATTTTGTAGATCAATGAGTTCACAGTAGTTTTCCCGAATCATTCTCTCCATTAAATACTAGAGATAACGAAGTCTATATAAGTGGTGTTGGTATTTATTCCAAGTACGCCATGATAATCATGGTATGTAGTAAGTGATGGCTTTTACTGTAAGTGCACAACATGTCAACACATGTAGAAAGATGTTCGATTTATACACCTACAAAGTGTCAGAGTTCCGTTTAGTTAAGGCACTCACTGGTGGGTGATATTGGACTTTTATAAGAATCGTGGAGTCATTTAGCAATTTTTTTTTTAGGAAAAAAAAAAAAATCCAATGTGATATTCGATCCTGGAACATGGCTGTCAAAAACCAACGGTTTAAACCACTCCTCCACTAAATTGCTGATTATAAGTGGTGGTGGTGGTGCTTATCTCCATGGTTAAACCAATTCCTGAAGTCCGCTCCTCTCCAATTTTGATTATAAGTGATCTTCTAAAGTTAAAAATTTTAAAAAAGTTTTCTGGAGATGAGTTTTTTTTTTAATTTTATTAAAACAGTCTCCAGCTTTCTTGCATCACTGTTCTTCTACAGGAGAACATTTATAAACGAATAAAACGCCGCATGATAGGTTATCCTGTAGGAGGGCAGAGATTTCCGAAAGTTTGAGGTTGTTTTTAATAAAAATAAAAAGAAATTGATCTCCAGAAACACTTTTTAATTACACCTATCCCCCGATTTACACGGTAGATACGTTCCTGAGAAAAACGTGTAAATCGGGGGATAGGTGTACACAGAAATAAAAATAAAATGCATTGACAGGTTAAAATATGTAGTCAGCACATAAGCTCGGGATTCCTCGTGAGATGTGTACACAGCGCATGTGTTCAATCACAGTAGCATTTAGTATAGTGCGATAAAAATTAAAAAAACTTATTTGGAAAACCGTGTAAAAGCGAAAACGTGTAAAACAAATACCGTGTAAATCGGGGGATAGGTGTATTTAATTAATGTCCAGGAGATTTAAATAAAAATTATTTCCTAAAGTCAAAGAGACACCGGCAAGAATGAGTAAGATAAGTGTGAGCTATCCATGTTGTTGTAAGGATGGAATTACAAGGGAGTCAGTTACCCTTAGCGATGGGACAACAGGCCCATATAGAGACTGGGCCCACCCCAGCGAACTGCCCCATTGCCAACTCCAGGAAGTACAGGGGCTTCCCCGCCAGCAGCAACATCAGGAAGTAGGGGATGAGGAAGGCTCCTGGGACATCAACAACCACTCGGTTAGACAAACAAAATATACGCTGTGATTGGCGATCACACGGGTTGAGACAATTTAAACAATTTTATTGATTCTTTTAATCAAATTTTACAAAGGTGGAAAAATATAGTAAAAGGGCATCACACGGGTTGATGTAACACAGATGTGTCAACATAGAGAGCGCATGGGTGTATATATAACTAAGAATTACAAGAACTGAAACTACCTAGAACACATGTGTTGATGATCAAGAATTAAAATAATTGACAACCAAGAAAAACGGGTTAACAACCGAGAATAAAGGAATTGGCCGTCAAGAATTCAGGAATTGACAAAAGAAGACCAAATAAGTTGACTATCAAGAATACAGTGATTTACTAACGATAGCACACACAATGACAACAGAATATACCAGCATTGAGAACAATATATATAAGAGAAAATATAAGAACATAGTTAACCATATATTTACATCAATTTAATAAAATATATAAAATTCAATATACTCTCCCAAAAACAACATAGGGTTATAACATGCTGCCAAAAAGAAACGCTGGCACGTACCTCCTCCATTCTTGTAGGCGAGGTAGGGAAACCTCCAGACATTGCCGATGCCAACAGACAGTCCTATACAGGACAGCAGGAACTCCCACTTGCTGCCCCAGGCCCCCCTGCCCTCAGTTGAGGAGTCCGAAGGGACAGGTTCTTTGACCATGGAGGGGGCCCTGGAAGACACGGAGTAGCGCCTGATGGACGCCCAGGTGCCATGTCTCCGCAGCTGGCGCTGGCCCCCTGACAGAGACCGGGCCCTCTGTTTCCCGTACAGCCCATCTTTTGGCTGGAACACCGCAGAGCCATTGTTCTAATTACACAATGAACCATCCTTATCTAGACTCAGCTGACTGCTACAGAAACCTCTAGAAAGTACATCAATGTACTGTGCTATACATCAGCGGTCGAGACCCCATCACATCATCCACCCTATATATTCCTTCAGATTTCCATATGGCACCCAGTTGAATAATCAACAAGGGACTCCCCATCAATCATTTATTTCTGAAGACCATCATTCACCGCCCCGTCCTGCTCTATTCATTTATAGGGAATTTTTATAGGGAAGCGTGACCTCAGGCGGTCGATTTAACAGAGTATTTGATCGATGAAATATAATTTTAAATAAAATAATGTTTTAATATAACATATATATAAATATAATTGAGACAAATATATATAAAATTTATACACAGTATTCATTGTTGCTGCCCACTGTGGGAAAAACTCCGCCACCGATGGACTGCGAGAGTTATTTGCCACAGAATGGGGGGGGGGGGGGGGGAGAGAGAGGAGGCCAATAAAATTATTTTAAAAATCTGAATATATCTACTGGAGAGGCTACATTGATATCGTGTTTGAAAACCAGGGTCATATCAACCAATAAAATGTTAATAAAATGTAACAATCAATTAGTAGAATCAATTGTTTAAATTGTCTACCAATAAAATGTCCACAGAGATATGAATACCTACCCGGCTTGGACTTGACAGGGAATAGGTCCTTCTCGAGAAATGAGGGTGGAGATTCTGAAACACCACGTGTAAACAATAAATCCTTAGATAGACTATGTTTAATATATTGTGTGACGGTGTTTTGACCCACCGCCAATTTTGAACAGCCCTTTCAACCACCACTACCTCGGCCGGCCGGGTACGCTGGGTCAAAACACCGTCACAATTGAAATATATATGAACTCAGCAATACAACAACAACACATATGTGCAGAGTAGAAACTGTCTTAAGTACCCAATCACGAAAAGTAAAAACAGCGCCTTGCAAAGGACTCCGTCGATTCCGCTAAACCCCACATTTACATTTATTTACATACTACGTTTGAAAGTATACAAAATAAATAATCGCTCTTATTTTGTTTTAACTGAACTTCTTGTAACCTCTATGTATATTTATTATCTACATTTTACATAGCTCTTTGCTACTTATTGTCTACTTCTTGTATATATAAATCTACATTAGTCCGAATGTTTATTTTTTGAAATGTAACAATTACTTTCGAGGGATATACTTACCAACTATTTTTTTGAATAAGAATAATGAGTTGATAACGTGTTTCTTTTTATTTTAGAAGTCTCGTACAAGCTTTCACAACAAATTTCTTATCATGCGGTCTAATAACAGGATATATATATATGTAGTAATGTAGTAGTAGTTTATGCTGTTGGATGAATGCAGTGTGGCATGTTGGCTAGAAGCAGTCGTGGTTGTTGAGCGATGGGTGGTAAGGACACACAGGAGACAGGATCCAGAGGCCCCGTGAGGAAATAGATCGGGGAGGAAAGATAGAAGGTCCCAGAACAACCCCTAGAACAACTGGCGTCGAGGCCACCTCGGTGAGAACTGAACTTTGATCATCCCGTCTAGCCGCTTTTAGCAAGATAAGTCCCCTAGGGGAGAATGAAGTCGTGATACTTGTTTACCAAGGGGATTGTTTGTTAACCTGGCTATCTTCCCTCTTTCCTTGTACTCCCACACAGGCCATTTTATTTTACGTATTTCCAAATATTATTATATATATATATGGCACAACTAGCTTTAATATAGTCCAATACACGCCCGCGCGTGCACCCGGCTTTGTCACCGACTTGAGGCCGATTGTTTACAGAGACGGTTAATAGATAGCGTCTAGCTTTGACGTCTATTTTGACGGGAGAAGTGACCTTTTGTGTGTATATACATACACACACACACAAAGCTTTATTAAGATCACCGGTATTATACAGATTCACCACAGGAAGAAAGGAATCATAGATGGAGCTCCTGTATGTGTGTATATATATATGACTTATCTTTACTTAAGACAGGTTCTACTGCATATTGCATACTGCATATTAAGTATGTAATAAGGATAAAAAATAAGTACTTTGTTTTTGGGGGTTGAAA